GAAATATATTGGAAACTAATAAGATAAAACACTAGAAAGAAAAATAAAACCCTTTTTTATTAAAAAAATATTTAATTTGATGGTTTTTGTAACGGACGTAACATTGTATGTTAAAAAATTTAGGAAGTTAAAAATGGCCCATATTCCTAAAAAAGAAATATATCTGTTACTTTTAAATGTTTATCAAATTAGTGAATATATACAGAAAGAAATAAAAAAAAAAATTGGTAATCATGCATTTTATTTTTGGTGCATCCACAATGGAAAGTCATTGACCCAAATGTATGTCAAAATCCTGTTCGTCCGTTACATGGGAATAGGATTTGTAGTGTATTAAAATACAAACATGCATATTTCTTTTGAAAAGATAATTTAACTATCTTATAATACCCCTTTTCCAAAACATTGATATCATATGTTCTGTTCCACAGAGTTTAGCCAAAATCATCTGTATTCTATTTTTCCATGAAAATGTTAGGATATCATGTCCATTTACTGTGAAATTACTCATATACAAACATGGTTTTGTCTACAACAAAACATTTTTTGTACAGACAAACATGGTTTTGTCATTTACAAACCATGTTTTGTACAGACAAACATGGTTTTGCCTTCACAAAACATGTTTTGTATAGACAAACATGGTTTTGTCTCCACAAAACATGTTTCGTCACGTATAGACAAACATGGTTTTGTCATTTACAAAACATGCTTTGTACGAACAAACATGGTTTTGTCTTAACATACATGGTTTTGTCTTTACAAAACATGTTTTGTACAGATAAACATGGTTTTGTCTTTACAAAACATGTTTTGTCTATTACAAAACATGTTTTGTATAGACAAATATGGTTTTGTCTTTACAAAACATGTTTTGTACAAACAGAGTTTGGTCTTTTACAAAACATGTTTTGTAGACAAACATGGTTTTGTCTTTATAAAACATGTTTTGTCTATTACAGAACATGTTTTGTATAGACAAACATGGTTTTGTCTTTTAAAAAACATGTTTTGTACAGACAAACATGGTTTTGTCTTTTACAAAACATGTTTTGTACAGACAAACATGGCTTTGTCTTTTACAAAACATGTTTTGTACAGACAAACATGGTTTTATCTTTTACAAAATATGTTTGTAAAGACAGAATAACTTTCGTATATTACAAAACATGATATGTCCCTTACAAACATGGTTTTGTATGACAGAACAGGTAGTGTGCCGTTTGGCGGCTCATATTCATTAATAATTTCATGATATAATCTTGTCCACGATGCCCTTAATATAAAAAGGATGGTTCTAATATCTTTACAATTAACAAGGGTTGGATTGAAATGACAACTAGCACACTTGTTAAGTTTTTTCTCAAACTTCCTGGTGAAATTGAGATTTTATAGTTTGGCACTTGCATACTATAATGAACTAATGATATTTTACTTTTAATTGAGTGCTTGGTATCATTTATCATTATGATTTTTCATATTCAAATAAACCTTTATTATACCACCACCAAGAAAGTTATCTCTCTCTCTCTGTTAATTTTTACATGATTATGCCAAAACTAATGAATGGATCATCATACCATTCAGTGGAGTGGTACACATTGATCTAAGGAAGAAAGTGATTAAATTTTGTGGTGAAACAGTGAAGTTAAACAAGGTGAAGGCAACAGAAATTTGAAAAATTGTCTGACACCCTTAGAGCATGAAAGAAAATAATGGAATCGGCAAAAAAGGCATTTTTGCCGATTTGCACTCTATGGAGTCACTGTACTCTATACACTTATAACCATTATTACACTGAAAGATATTAACAAAACACCAACATTAATATTGAATTTATAAGGTACATTCATTCACACTAAATCCAAATTTTTGGATCGGAAAACCTACCGAACTGATTAGAAAATCGACTCAGTATGTAAAAATAGGGACTATTGAATTCAGCGCATCCCATTTGCGGTCCGAATTTCGGTTTAGATCCGATGTGAACGCAGCTAAAGTCAACTAACATGCAAAGAAAGGATGCGCACAGAGACGTTTTAAGAGCACAGAGATGGATGTTAACCTCTCCACTGGTACTGCTGGTTTGGGTAGGTTGGCATGCTTTAAGAGCACTGAATTAGATATTAACCTTGTCACTGGGACTGCTGGTTTGGGTAGGTTGGCATGCCTTAAGAGCACAGAAATAGATATTAACCTTGTCACTGGGACTGCTGGTTTGGGTAGGTTGGCATGCCTTAAGAGCACAGAAATAGATATTAACCTTATCACTGGGACTGCTGGTTTGGGGAGGTTGGCATACTTTAAGAGCACAGAATTAGATGTTAACCTACCATTGGTACTGCTGGTTTGGATAGGTTGCAGTGGCTTTGGCATGGTCTACAGGCTCACCCCAATGGCTCTGTGTGTGGCTGTCTTCCTGTGTTGCCGGTAACCAAATTGTTGGTAGCTGGTAGACATTCATCAGCCGCATTTCTGCTGTATTCATCTTTAAAATGCTCTAGGATTTCTGGCTCATCTTTCGTGTCATTAAACACAAGGCATTTTGTATTTGGCTGCAATGAAAATAAATCTGTGACTGTAGATTAATAAACATCTGATCGATGAAATCACATTAATCAGTCTTTTTTTAACGGATTGGATAAGCCAATTCATAGTTTGAACTGCGCATGCTCATATCAAGGTCCATTGACAAACAACAGACAAAAAAAAGGTTATTGATTGAACTTCGATATGGGCATGCGCAGTTCAAACTATGAAATGGCTTATTGGATTTATTCAGTGTAACACCAAGGATAAAAAAACAGTTTAAGTTTGAAGAAGACATATTTCCAGTGGAGCCCTTCATGCAAACAGGCTGTATTGCATATGGGACTAACAGATTAAATGTCTCATATGGTGAGCTTTTGAAACTCATGTTGCAACCCATCAAAGTCTTTACTTTTTCAGTATTTTACTTTTACGATTAATTTTTACAGCACTAAAGGGCGCACCTGAAAAGTGCAAAACTCTTTGGACAAGTTTGGCTTCTTTTGAAGGGAAATCTCATTTTCACAAAAAAAAAACACAACAATCCTTTAAAAACCGACACTAGACAGCATGTCCTGAAATTTGAAAGGACGCCCAATCAAAAAGCAGTTTTTCAACAGTGCATGCTTAATTCACAGCTGATTCAAATCAATACCCTGCGCCTTTGCCTGGCGGAACACCGACATAAAATTGGGCATAAAACACAAAATTGGCTTTATAACCCAAGGGGTCTTGTAGCAGAGGAACTACAGTATTAATTATTATATATTCTTTATTCTTACTCTTTATTATTTTATTCATCATTTCAGGAGAAAATAAAACACTACAAAAAAATTCTGCTTAGCAGAACTTAATCATTGAAAGGTATACACAAATCCAATTGAGTCCTTGTAAGGGCACCCTTTATTGGCACAGCTATTGTTGCGGGGGAGGGGGTTCTCAGGTTTCTCACATGCATGTTGTTGTGGCACATAATCTTTAGACTAGATTATGATGAAAACAAAATTATGGATGTATACAATACAGGGATGTAGTTATGGTGGGAAGAGGTGGGTGGTGGACCCCCACCCTGGAAATGCTCCATCCAGTCTAAAGCTTTAATTTCATGGGTTAATTAAACCATGGAGGAATAATATAAAAAAATAAAATAAAAAAAATTTATTCCTCCATGATTAAACCAACTTAAAATTCTCTCTTAATATTTATAGTTTACAAATGTTATCAACTACTACCCTTAAAACGTCTACCATCTACTCTTACATTTTTACAGATACAAACCTGACAATACCATGAGAAACCCCTGCCGTGGTGTCTGCAGAGAAATAATAATCACTGAAAATGGAATGGTGTATACAGTAGTTTAACAAAATCCGGACAACAGATTTCATGGCCTACTGTATCACATTACAATAAGAATCACAAAACTTGAATTATGAATAGCTCAAGGAAATAATTCAATAAAATTAACTTGATAAACTCAATAGGCCTATGCACCCTGTCGTGACATTCATGTGAACTGTAAAGTTTTGATATAGTCATTCAACAGCTCACTAACATAAGGCATGGCCTGCAATTTCAATTAATTCTTTGGTCCAATTATCTTTTTGAATAGGTCAAAATATTTTGAAACTGTCATTAATTTTTATCAAGATTAACAATGCATTCAACAGATGGGCCCTGGTGTTAACCTACGGTGTGGCATCAATGTTTAACACCCAAAAAACATTAACATATAAATCCGGTATAATAAATAATATGCCACAGTGATCAACAATACTGCCCCACCATGACAAAAGGAAGTAACTGAAAATTTTTCAAAAACGAGTTTTTTTTAGTCACTATCAAAGAACTAATAATTTGAAACATATTGATGTATTTGAGTATGTTCATATCCCACTCATTAACAAGTAATTAGCAACACAAAAAGGAAGTAAGAGACTAAAAATACAGTAAAAACCACCAGAAAAGGAAGCAGGGGACAAAATCAACATGCTCCATATTCCTTAATTACTCAAAGCAATGCAAACATCATTGCTTCCTTTTGTCATGGTGGGGCAGAATACTGAATAACAAATACCGTCACGCTATCATTATTAGGCCTATTATTATCTATTTGTACTCTTATGACTAATTCCAAAATCTTGAGAGCCAGTTTGATAAATGACGTTTACGGAAATATTTTATTTATTTATACTATGGTGTCAGGTTCCAGACCAGTTACTGGGGTGGAAAAGCGTCTATGATGACGTTTACGGAAGTATTTCTTTCAAAGCCAACCCCCTCTATTTATACTATTGTGAAAAAGGCAACATCATGAAGAACTGGTCTGGAAACCCGTCTATGATGACGTTTACAAAAATATTTTTTTCAAAGCCAACACCCTTAATTTACACTATTGTGAAAAAGCCCGACATCACGGAAAACTGGTCCAGAAATCCGTTTATGATGAGGTTTACGGAAATATTTTTTCAAAGCCAACACCCATCCACGAAGTACATACGGAGGTACCAGTTAGGTAGTGACTTTGAAGACACATGAAGTAGAGAATACAGAGCTCTCTAACCTGGAATGAGGTATATATCTAGGCAAAATTGTAATAAGGTAGGTGTTTTACTGTCTGTTGTGGGATGGGCATATATAACTGGGGACTAATAGTAATTGCTAAACAGCTAGCAAGCGTAGTTCATCCTACAGATACCAGGAACTGTGAGTTTTCAAATGGGTCATGTAGACCAAGGTGCAACTAACTATACTACCAAACACAATTTGTGGCAATGATGTCATATAATTAAATTAGCTAAAATAGAAAATTTATACACATACATTTTACTGTACACTTGTACATCTCCATTTTAAGCAAAAAATATCAATCGCTTATTACATGAGCGGCGGAAGCAGTCCAGCATGTCAGACAGCCAACTGATCAATATTTTGCTGACATCGTTTTTGAAGTTTGAGAATGCTACAGTATTTCTGAGCATCTGGAAGAACTAAATCCTAATAAAAAAAACTCTCCTGCCTGAGCAAATTCTAAATGTTTTCATTATCCGTGATCTTTATAACAATGCGACAAAGTTGGTGGATTAGCCTAGAACTTGAATTGTTGGCCTAGACTTAAGATGTTCATCGTTGGCGATATCAGTTCGTGGCTGGGCATGCGGATCACTTGGGCCCTTTGGACTGGGATGCGTTCAGGCAAGAACGGAAAACATTTACATAGGGTTTTACTGGTATTGCATCCGTGGGTGGTTTACCTGTTCGTGCAGAACTTGGCTTTTAAAAAACCATTGATCTCGGATGTAAAACAAAGTCAATATGCAAATGAAAAGTTTCTATCAAGTTGCCCTGTACCCAGCATCACCCGGTCCCTACTCTTAAATTGGTCCACTGCATAATGTTTCAATTTAAGTAGTGAAATGATTGAAGAAGCTATAACAACAATAAGCTTCATTATGGGCCTACATTACAAACTCTCAATAAATTGCAGATGTGCATTTTGGGTGTAATACTATGAATAAACTTTCATTCGTTTGACAATGGTACAGTAGTTTAAAAACAGAAAATTACTACCATTGTCAAATGGATAAGCAGTGGTGCCACGATCACGCGTGCATGCAGCAGACGTATGTAGTAAGGTAACAATCTGGATTCTAGGCTAGCCCTCCGCTGAAATAATTTATTCTATCAAGCTTTTCAGTTTTGTGTTTGGAAATAAACTGTAAAAGAAGCAGGGACCAGGGCGATTTAAACAAACTTTACTTCTGGCGCTTGCCAAAACTATTAAAGTGCAATCAAAAAGGGATTAAGTGATAAAAAATTCTCCCTGCTGCTAATGCATGCTGTTTTTGCTCCTCCAAAACACTGCAATTTGCAGCGTCGGATTATCAGCGGGTATCAGCAGACGGTCGGCGTTTAACACCCAATTGGGTGATGACTGGAAATGGCCGTTTCCGGATTTATTCC